GGCAGGGAACCGGGACCGAGCCTGGAGCCAGAGCTGGGGTTGGAACCAGCACGGGGGGTGGGAGCGGGGCCGGGGACTCGCTGCCAGCTCCTGTCCCCGCTGCCCATCCCTGCTCCGGGCTGGAGCCTTCCCTGCGCCCCGGAGCTCAGCAGGACCCTCACTCCCCACCCTCCCTCATTGCAGCGATATCAGCCCCTTGCTGAAGGATCCTGTGGCCTTCAGGACTTTGATTGATCTTCTGGAGGATCATGTGAGGGCGTCTTGCCCTAAAATCGACCTCATTGTGGGTGAGTGTTGGTTGAACACCCCGAGGCCAGGGCAGAGCAGCGTGTCCCCGGGTGGGAAGCGTGGGGTGACCCTTGGGGAATGTTGTAGCCCTTGGACACGAAAATCACATTTGAACATTGGCCTCTGTCATGTGCTAACACCAGGACAGTTCACAGCCCTCACTTCCCCTGTGATTTCCTGAAATACTGGTTCGGGCTGTGGCAGTGCCCTGTGACACTCCAGTGCCATTACATAATTCATTGTTAAAAACAGGGAGCACAGGGATCCTGCTGTGCTGCAGGCTCTGTCCCCAGGGCACAGCACACCCTGGCCCAGCTCATTTCCCTCAGGGAGCCTTTCCAGGCCAGCACAGGTGGCCTTGGTGGCCAGAACACCTCTCAGCTCACCTGGCAAAGCGCTGAGGAGGGCAGTGCTTGGGCTGGGCAGGCTCCAGGGAGCACAGATCAAACCTGGCCCAGGTGCTCTGTGATAACTGAAGTCTGCCCAGAGGTACAGAGCTCCTGCTTGTGTGGCTGCACTGATACCAGGGCCCTGCTGGGTTTATCTCGAAGGAAAAGGGTCAGAGGGGAGGGAAACGGGCCCTTGGGGCCCAGCAGCAGCACAGCTGGGTGAGAACAGGAGTGTGGGCTGTGTTTTCAACCCTTAGAAATGACTTGAAGAGCAAATTGCTTTTTGAGTCCCCCGAATGGGAGGATAAAATGGGGGGGTTGTGCCAAGACCTTGCCCCAGTGAAATGGCTCTGATTTGAGTGGTGGGACAAGAGGAAAAGGCTTCAAGTTACACCTGGTGGGGGTTTAGCTTGGATATGAGGGAAAATTAATTCACTGAGAGGTTGATCAGGTATCAGAACAGCCTGCCCAGGGCAGTAGGGGAGTCACCATTCCAAAAAACATGTGGATGTGGCACTTGGGGACATGGCTCAGCGGTTGGACCTGATGGTCTTGGAGGCCTTTTCCAAGATGAATGATTCCCTGATTCCTGCTCTGCCCCCCAGGCCTGGACTCCCGTGGGTTCCTCATCGGGCCCCCCCTGGCACAGAGGTTGGGGATCGGCTTCGTGCCCGTGCGGAAAAAGGGGAAACTCCCCGGTGCCACCGAGTCCATCTCCTACAGCCTGGAATATGGCAAGGTGAGGCCTGGGAGGAGCAGGGGCTCAGGCTGGGGGGGCCAGGGCTGCTAGAAGCGTGGGGAGGGGGTCCCAGACTGGGTGATCTGGCACGGCACGAGCCCCGGGAGTGGCGCTGAGCCGAGCCACGGTCATTCCGTCTGTGCCCACGGGTGATGTTTGGTGCTGTGCCGTGGTTCTTCTGAGGGGGTTGGTGCTCAGACTTGGTGCTAAATGGCTTTCTTTGGCTTGAATTCAGGGGCATGACCACGGAGAGTGTTCCCCACTCTGGCAGTAAGTGCTGTAAGTCAGAGCCTTCCCGCATGGCTTCCCACCATCCCCTAACCCCGCGGCTGCTCCAGGACCCGGCCTCCATCTGTGCTACTCCCACTAGGAACTAACAGCAGCAGAACTCCCAAAGCCAGGCCTAAGCCATGAGGATTGTTTGGGCCAACTGAGCTCATGTGACACATCCAAACAGGTGCCAGTTTGGATCTGGCTCTAGGCAGAGCTCCCCAGTGCGTGACAGGAGATTTTCCTCACCAGAGAACTGCTCTGGGATAAGATTCCACCATAACTCACACGATGAAAGTTCAGGATCTTGGCGTGCCAGAGGGTTGGCCCAGCAATCCCCTCCCTGCTCTGTGTTTCTGTGGCGCTCCCCTGTAGCTGGAATTTGTGGGGTTTTTGGGATTTTAGGTGCTGAGTGTTTAGGCTGATGTCGCTGAGGACTTGTCTGTGTTCCAGCATGAACCAGCAGCTCGTGAGGGGTTTCTCTCCAAGGCCAGACTAAAACAAAGCTGCTCTTTGCTCCCTGCAGGCTGAACTGGAAATCCAGAGCGATGCTGTGGAGCCAGGACAGAAGGTGGTGATTGTGGATGACTTGCTGGCAACTGGAGGTGAGGGAAGCACGTGTGAGCCACGTACACCTGCGTTCCTGGAGTCATGGAGTGGCTGGGCTGGACAAATCCCACCCCCTGCCCTGGCCAGGGACACCTCCCACTAGCCCAGCTTGCTCTAAGCCCCCATCCAACCTGGCTTTGGACATTTCCAGGGGTATCCACACCTCTCTGGCATCCACAACCTGTTGGCAGCAGCAGGGGTGGCTGTGGGGCTGGAAGCAGGCCCTGGAGTGAGGATGTTTGTGCTCCCCTCCACAGGTACCATGTGTGCTGCCTGCGAGCTGCTGAAGAGGCTGAAGGCTGAAATCCTGGAGTGCCTGGTGATCATAGAGTTAAAATCCCTGAAAGGGCTGGAAAAGCTCAATTCCATCCCTTTCTACTCCCTGCTGCAGTATGACTGAGGAGGAGCAGAGGGAGAAGGGAGCACTGGGAACAAATCTGGGGCTTTATTTAGTGACTCTGGATGTCACAAGGGGGTGGGTGAGGGGGTTAAATACAGGTTTTGGGCATGGCCAGATGCTCTTCAATCCTAAATTTCCCAAGCACCATGTTGAGTGTAATGATCCCTTTTGGAGTTCATCCTGTGGGGAAGAAGGAACAGGCTGATTGTTTGGGGGTGTGGAGACCAAGATGAATCTGCTTCACTGAATCTGTGGTTTTTAGGAGACCAAAGTGACAACATTGCTGCTGAGGCAGGAGAGCCCTGACAGGGCACCAGCATTCCCTGAGCTGGGCCTGTCAGCCTCCCAGGAACCTGCTGAGAAATTCCCAAAGAAACACAGGAAACAGGCAAAAAGCAATTATTTCTGTGAGGGATAAATCCTGCTGTATTTGGCCTCAGGGGATGGTCTGGATGCTCTGTGCTGTCACACCAGAAGGAGTTGCTCTTACACCAGGGTTTGTTGAGGAGAATGAAGTGCCTGCTGTGTCCTTCAATCAGGATGGTGCTGCTGTGGGATGAGCTCAGTCAGTGTTTTCCTTCCCTGGAGACCACAGACACCTTTTGTTCAGCACCAATTCCCCATCTCCTGCACACACCCCACTCCCTGTGCTGCTGCTGTCCCTCTGCTGGGCTGCTCTGCCAGTTCAGAGCCTGCTCTTGGTGGGAGCTGGGTGTCAGGGGAGGCCACAGGAAAGGTGTTGCAGTGATCTCAGGTGTGTGATGGATGATGAGGCTCTGGAGATGCTTCCTCCAGCACGGTTCAGTTTGGTCACAGCTAAATCCCTGTGTGCCAAAACTTCCCAAAGCCTGAAAACATCAGGGACTGGCCCAGCAGGGACTGGACTCACGGGTAAAATAAATATTGATGTCTTTTTATGTTTCCTAAACTGTCTCAGAGCTGTTCTTGCAGTGGCTGAAGCTGTTGATGACTCTTGGGAGTGTCTCCCTGCAGCCCTGGGTGGTCAGTGGAGCAGGGCTGTGCTGTGAGCTCTCCCTTATCCCCCAAATGCTTGGAATTGTTTTCCAGGGAGCATTCAGGCACCTTTTCTTCACTTTGCACCAACCTCTGGCAGGAGGGGCTTGGTCAGCTCAGCTCCCCATCCCCATCCAGCACCTGGGGCCGCCTCCCACCCAGCTCCTCTTGGAAGGACAATTGCAGCTGCTTTCATCCCCACTTCAGTGCTGCTCAGCCTGCACCGAGGACACAATTCCCAGGAGCCAGGGGAGGCAGCACCTCACAGCCTTGGCACCAGGAGAGGGTCCCTGCTGTGGGGGAGAAGGGAAATTCCACCCCTAGGAGCCATGGAAAGCAGCTGCGTGCTGGGGAAGCAGCGTCAGCCAGGCCAGTGACATCAGGGAACGTGGGGACGCTGCCTTGGCCCTGGCTGGGCTGCCAGCAGCCCCTGATGTCATTTGCTTGGAGAGGCGAGGCTGGGCAGGGCTTCCAGGTGGGAGAAAGGTTTTTATCCCGAGGAGCAGAACGGGAGCTCGCTGGGAGCCCTCCTGGGATGTGAGTGTGGCTGCCAGGCTGCTGATTCCAGCTCCTTTCCAATCCTGCTCGACTCCAGCTGCTGAAATCCAGCTCCTTTCCACCACGGTGAGGTTCCTGAGCCCCCAGCCTGCCCCAGGAGCCCCCAGCCTCACAGCCAGCCCCTGCCCTGGGTTCAATCCCTTCTCCTCCTCCCTGGAAACTGGGCACACTCCTGCCAGGGCCTGGAGGAAGGGGAGGAAGAGGAAGAGGAAGGCCTCTTGCTCCCTCGGGAAGTGCTGTGGCATCTCCGATGCTGCTGGAGTCCAGCACTGAAGAGTGGGATGAAAGGCTGAGGGAGTCACCTTTCCCTGCAGGTCCTCGGTGTCCCCAGCCCCAGGCTGGCTCGGGGAGCAGCGTGAGCCGAGTGTGACGTGGCCCTGGCAGCTCCCAGCCCTCCCCTGCGCCCACGCTGCCCCGACCCAGGCGTGGTGCCAGCCCGGCACCTCTGCAGCCATCCTCACCCTCTCCGTGCCTCTTCCCAAGCCACTTCAGCCCAGTGGCCTGGGATTTCCTCTGGGAAAAAAACCCCCACGACCCCTCCTGTCAGCCCTGCCTGCCCCTGTCCCCGCAGGAGCTGCTCCCCCAGCCCCATTTACAAAAGCTGCATTCAGCTCCCTGCAAACCCACGCTCACTTTTTCCAGTGAGTCTTTCTCCAGGAGCTGGATGAGGAGCCAGCCCTTCCCGGCGCCAATTGCCATGGAGAACCACGAGACAGGCAGCGAGGAAGAGCACTGGCTTAACACGAGTCAACTATATTTAAAACATTTAATACAAATATGTTTTGACAAGTCCTGTAGTTGTTTCCAGCGAGGACTGGAAGATGCATTTTCCCTCCCTTAAAAACAGAACGAGGCCCGAAGCTCCAAAATCATCAATTTGTGACTTTTTCTCTTACTCCTTCCCCTCTGTCACCCTCTCAGCCTGCCCTGTTCTGCCTTCACCCCACCAGGGCCCAGTTAATGGAAGAAACCTCTGAAATGGAACCTTCAGGAGACCCCTCATGCATTGAACCTTCAGGAGAGCACAGGAAAGAAGAGGAAAAAGTTCCTCAGGTTTTCATCATCACCCCAGGACGCAGGATTGCTCGAGGACACGGGGACCTACACTCCTCAAGGATCCCACCACAGAAATTAATTTAATTAAGGCACCCCCGAGGATGAGCCTTCCTCCAGCCCAGCCCAGAACCCAGAGCACCGCTGGGATTTGCTACATTTCGAGGAGATTGCACAGAGAAATCCTCAACCCTCGAGGGGCTCAGAGAGCTCCAGCCTCCTTGGCCGCCTTGTTGAGCCTCTCGGTGACGAGGCCCAGGTCCTTCTCTTTGTCCAGCTTGACGTAGGTGTCCGTCCTGAGGGCGTGGACGCCCACCCAGTCGGGCAGCAGCTCCGCCAAGAGCCGCACGTGTTTCTCCATCTCACCTGCGGCGAGGAGCACGGGGGTCAGAGCCGGCCTCCCCACGGCCCCCTCCTCCCGCCGAGATCCCCCCTTGGGATTCCTACCGGGCGCCACCAGCTCGGGGCAGCTGTCGGCCAGGCGGGCACAGAGCAGCTCCATGCCGAGCGCCGGCTTCTTCTCGGCCACGAAGACTCCGCGCAGGACGCGCGCCATGGCCGGCAGCCGCGCCAGCCGC